CTCAATGCCAGAAAAATCTTGTAAGCGCTGACTGAATTCTATCATGAGAGATGTGATCACAGACACATATTCTCCAATTTTTGCAGAGAGCTTGGCATTTGGAAATGCGCATTTGATTTCGGTCAGCGTGGGCAAGTGCGCTACATTGAAGTTGTGCAGTTGTGACTAGGAGAGACGGAGCTTCACACGGAATGCTTTCATGTGCGCATACAGCTGTGGTACCAGCTGCTCTTGTAGTCTCTTGTTCAGGGTGTTGAGATGATCAGTCAGATCAACTAAAAAAAGCCAGGTCTGCCAACCATAAAAAGTCACTGATCTCATGGAGAGGTCTGCCTTTTTCTTTCAAAAACTTGGCGATATTTGATCTCAGGGAATAAAACCGCTGCAGCACGGAGCCGCGACTGAGCCAGCGCACTTCAGAATGGTAGAGTAGGTCCCCGTATTCAGCATCGACATCAGAGAGGAACGCTTGAAATTATCTGTGGTAAAGCCCTCTTGCCCGAATTGTTGACAGTTTTCAGAACTGTGTTTATCACATCGCCAAGCTGGATTATCTTGGCACAGAGGGCTTCTTGGTAGATGATACAGTGCATTTTGACAGCCTCACCTCCGCTCTCCCGCACCTTGGCACTCACCATAGAGGCCATTCCTTTGCACTCGCCTGTCATTGCTGGAGCCCTATCCGTTGTAATTCCACACAGCTTATCCCATTTAAGTCCAGCCTGGTCAATTGCATCTGACACAGCTTCAAACATGTCCTTCCCAGTTGTTGTCTCCTTTAGACTCCGAAAATCGAGCAGTTCCTCCGTAATGCAAAAATTATCATCAACTCCCCGCAAAAAAAATAACAGCTGTGCAGTGTCCGTGGCATCTGTGCTCTCATCACATGCAATCGAGTAAAAATCGAAAGCACAAGCTTTATCTGACACTGGCTGTTTTAAGTTAGCCGACAAGTCTTCAATTCGCCGCACAACCGTATTTCTGGACATACTAACATTGTTGAAATCCTGCATTTTCTCCGGGCACATTATGCCCACGACTTTAGTGAGGCACTGTTTGATGAGTCACCGTTTGAGAAAGGTTTCCCGTTAAGGGCAATGAATTGAGCTACTTAATAACTGGCAATTGTTGCATTTTCTTGAGCTTTGTTAGCACGGAAAAAAACCTGCTGCTGCGTTAGCAGGCTAGCAGCCATTTGCTTTACCTTCTCTTTCCACTCGGCGCTAATGTAGGACGTGAAGGTCTGATGCTTCGTTTCATAATGCCGTCGTACATTGTACTCTTTCATCACGGCAACACTCTCATTACAAATCAAACAAACACACTTCCCCTTGGTTTCTATGAAAAAAATATTCATTTTTCCACCGAGTCTGAAATTTTATGCACTCGCTTGCAATATTGCGTCTCTTCGGTTCCGACATTTCTGGTGACCCAGAGCAATGTTTTTCTTCGATTGCTTGCTTTGTGGAGACGCTGCCTTGTTCAAGACAATAGCGCCACCTAGTTTTAAAATAAGAAGTGAAATACAGTGGGCCATAGTCCATTATATTTTTAGACTTTGATACGGGACAATAAAAAATAGATGGCGGGCCGCAGTTGGCCTGCGGGCCGTAGTTTGGACACCCCTGCTCTAGAGGAGCTCTCTAGAGGGGGCTCTCTAGGGGCTTTCGAGAGGGGCTCTCTAGAGGGGCTCTGAAGGGGCTCTGAAGGGGCACTCTAGAGGGACTCTCTAGGGGGCTCTCTAGGGGGGCTCTCTGGAGGGGTTCTCTCAAGCTCTCTCTAGTTCCGCAATTGCAGGGCTGCACTCTACCTTTTTACATAATTAATTATAGTCGTGAAAAACTAAACTCAGTATCAAATGTGCAAAACATTCTAGCCTTTTCCCAAAATGTAGGTGAAATTAATATTATTTCATGCGTGCATTCTATTTAACAAATGATTATATAGTTATCAGTCATGGTATTGTAGTGGGCTCAAACGGACACTCAGACGTAACTTTGGAGGCAACACGTTTATCAACATCAACACGTAACGTACAAAGGGGTAACTGCCCCTTTACTTGACGTAAAATTTTAAATCCTTCAGTCCCACCAAGAGATCAATGCGCCCATCCTCATGCAACAATGCCTCATTGATCAATGGGCACGTTTTCACGTTGGGAGTCGTGAGATTGATAGCACTATCATAAACCCAGTAGATGCATTCCTCCCTTGACCAGATAGCCCCTGAATATGAATTAATCTCGTAAGTACTAATCTAAAATGATACACACAACTAACAAAGACTCAACACGGTTGTCAATAATGTTGCCCTTTCGAGAAGGACCATTTGCCTAAACGTCACCTATTTTATATTTATTTCTCTTATGGGAAGTGTTATTGATGAATTCGTTGAGTTTGTGCTGTTTGTCTTGTGCGGTTCAACTGCCAGTGCAGTATCACGATTTTTTGTGCATTATTTTGCATTGGCATTCGATTGTTTTTAAATTGGGCCTTGAAGGTCAATTTGTTTATTCCAAGTGTAGTGGCATCGGGGGATGCCACTGCATGATACGGTAAGACCGGCCTGTGTGTGAAGCAGGGTACACACTGCTTACACCACCCACAACATGGCAGTTGTGCGACATTGCACTCCGTGTGCAGGGCCAGTCCTGAAGGCTAGGGGCGAGAGTGCCTGGAGCGGCACAGGGGTAACAGGGGGCCATGGCACTCCGCATGAACCAGGAGGGCTAGTGGCCGGAGGTACCAGGGATGGGGCCCCCAAAGAGGAGGCTGGGGGACCCCGGGACCGGTTCCAGATGCCTCAGGAAGGTTCGAGAAGGGAAGCGTGCCTAGGGGCGGAGGAAGCCCCGGGACCGATTATTTAAGCCGGACCCCTGAACGGGTCCGCTGATTGTTGCTCACCTGAAGACATGAAGACGTCTTCCTGAAAGAAGAAGCTGAAGACAAGACCTGGACTCGAGTCGGGGTCCCGGCTTGACAGCCTACCCCAGTTGTGTTAGGGCGATTTAGCCCGGAGAGATTACCTCCCTAGGTTACCTGGTGGAAGGGGCAGCTACCCCTTCATGTTAGGATACATTGTTGAAATAAACGTGTTGCCTCCAGAGACGCCTCGCTCTCCATTTATACCCACTACACAAGTATGAAAAAAAATAAGAATAGGTTTTACCCTTTATGGTACTAAAACAGGTGTTAAGATGTTCAAACACCAAATATAAATATTTTTTAAGGAGTCATGTCTGCATTAACCACACGTACTTGTGGTGAACATGCAAGCAAAAAACATACATTGAAAATATCTGTATTGACTTTGAAACAGATTGGTCTACACTAGAGACAGCCTTCTTTGGGGCCTAGTCTCACCAGTGTTAGACCAGAGCACGCATTTAAGTGGGTTCAACTGAGTCGCAGACGTACTCCTTGGAGGCAACACATTTATTGATACCAACACAAAGGGGTAACTGTCCCTTCACCAGATAACAACCTATGGTGGTGGACCACCAGGCTAACTACACTAATTACACTGGGAGTAGCTACAACGGACAGGACACCGGCTTGGGTCCAGGTCCACGTGTTGGTGACTCGGACGTAGAACGTAGATCTTCAGGATAACAACAGCAACGCTGAACCCCGGTCTCTCTGGGGACCCGGTTTATATCCTCACGGGTCGTGGCTGGCTCTGCACTTGGCCACGACCACCTTCTCGAATGATTTAGCAGGATCTCGCCCCGACACGTGACCATCCCTAGCCCCCACTTGGGGCCCCTGTGTAGACTTTACCCATCACATGCCTTCTAGGGTCAACCAGAGTGCCATGGCCTACATTAACCCCATTCATGGCCGGCACTCTCACACCCCCTCCTATAGGGGACAGCACTGCATGCCGAGCGTGGTACCAATCAGCGCTCTTGTGAGGCCGCAGGCGCGAAGCCGTCCTGCCGACTCCGTGGCCACCTCCAAGCGACGGGGCCGACCCTACTCTTCCCTCACCACCCCCCACATGAACACACACACACCCCCACCCACATAGAGCCCCGAGGGGAGGTCACTTGGCCGACAGATTTTCACCCAGAAGCCCTCTCATGGGACCAAACTTCACGATTTCCTGCGACTAGGGAATTGGGCGACCTCCCCAGAGGCAAATGTGCACCGCGGTGCCATGACTTGGGTTGTAATTACATGGTCACGATGGGGCTGCTGAGCCACCGCGGATAAAAAAAAAAACAGCCACAACACACACGGGTCAGCAGGCAGGTAGGGGGGTACGGAGTCACGAACGGCGGGAAAAACAGGGCCGGTCCTCTGATTGGTATGACAGATGCGCTTGTTTAGAGGGTGAAAAGCGGACGTCTGAGAGAGCACCGGTCCGGGGAGAGTGGCGGGAAATCCGAGCCACCTGATTGGATGGGAGGCCAGCGGATCAGCGCCGATTTATCTTTGATGTAGGGTATAATAAAAAGGGTAGAGGAGGTAGGGAGAGTTAGTTCGTGTTCTACTCAAGCCAGCGCTCGGGGCGGTCGACTTCCCAGCCACCGGCCAGGGGACCCCTTCATGGAAAGAGTTTGCCCGCAACATCATAGGGGCTAAAGATATTAATGGCTCGACGGACGCGCAGGCGTTATGACAACTTACTAGGAACCTGGATGGGCGGGCAGCTGACTTTGTGGAGGCCCTACCCGCAAGCGCGCAAACACAGTTAGAAGAGTTGATGCGCCGACTTGACCTGCGCTTTGGCGCGCGTGATGAGGAGGAGGCAAAGGCAGCCTTAGAGGCACGCCGCCGCCAACCCGGCGAGGACTTTCGTGACTATGCCGAGGACGTGCGCGCGCTAACACAGATCGCATGCCCGGGGTACGCGACCGAGGTAATTGAGGACCTCGCCGCCAAAAAGATCCAGCGGTACTTGGCTCGTACCTCGTGGTGGCAGCCCGATATAAGCTGTGCACGTCTTCCCTTTAACACCCTGGTCGAGCGCGCGTGTAAATGTGAGCGAATTTCCAGTGAACGCGCGCAGCTCCGGGGGCTGGGACGAGAGTGCGCCATTGCGAGCCTGCTCCCAGAGGAGGAAGAGGAGGAAGAGGGGCTCGCCAGTACGGTAAGGGGTCGGGCAAGGGAGCCTCTGGGATCCTGCGAGACAACCCCGGGATGGGTAGCAGGGCTACAGACCGGCATGGGAGATATAGCCGGCCAGATGGCCCACGTACGGTCTACAGTTGAGACCATTCAGTCCGAAATGGGAGAGCTGCGTTCCACAGTAGGGGGGCTAACTGGACGAGCGTCCCGATTGGAGGCAGAGCTTGGGCAAACACGTATCGGGGAGAGGAGAAGGAATGGGCAGGGGGCCTCCTATGGGGCCGCCCCCCGGGCATGTTACCTGTGCGACCATCGAGGGCATCTCATGAGAGACTGTCCTCAGATCGCCCGCGTTAGAAACGCCCCAGAGTTAAATGCCAACGCCCCCCAGAGAGTGGACCAACTAGGAGTGCAATCGACACGGTCCCAACACAAAATGACGATAATAATAATGGTGAGCGAGTGACCTCCACACAGATTCCGACAACAGCACCTAAGAACGCGGTGACTCCTGGCGACTGGCTACGGGAGTTAGTGGCGGGAATCACCAACGTCGCTGGTGGAAGGACAGGTAAACAGGCAGGATACCCGGATTCTGTTAGACACGGGGGCAGTGGCCCCACTCGTGAGTGCCACACACTGCAGCGTACTCGGGGTTGATGTGGACCACCTGCAGGCCCCGGATCGCGTGCTGCACACTGCAAGCGGAGCCGGGATGGGGCTGCTGGGAAGGGTCACCCTCGAGGTCCGTCTCGGACACCAGGTGTGCACCCAGGAATTCTATGTCTCGAGTGTGTTGTGCCATGAGTGTATCGCAGGTACAGACCTCCTGGAAAAGCTGGGGCTCAACGTGCAGCCCCGCCAGCGATGCGCCACCGTGGAAGGCAGTGTGAAGCGGATTCCGTTCCTGGGACAAGAGCCGAATCGCCCCCGCTTCACACCCGTGGCCGCCTCCCTGGTGTCGGCCGTCACCATCGGGCCGCTCACCGAGATGCTGCTGCCAGTGGCAACACCCTCCACCGACCCCACACACCGACCATCGGGCGAGGTAATGCTAACTCCTCACCCGGAGTTGGTGGCGCGGTACGGGGTTGTGGGATCAGCCACGCTGGTCAACGCAGACGGGGGCCTACTGTTTATGCGGGTATTTAACCTACACAGTACCCTGGCAATGCTACGACGACGCACCACGGTAGCCACCATACACCCTCTGCACGCGCGCCACTCTAACGACTCGGTGTTTGCCCTCTGGGCTGAGGACCCTGGTCGCCCCGAGGACTACCAGGACCTGGCCTGGCGAGTCGGCCTGACTCCCCGAGCCGAGGCCGTCCCCCTGCTTGACGCGTTACACGTACCTTGGGCAGATTTACCTAAGAGGGAGGCCAATCAGCTGCGCGGGTTACTGCGGGAGTACGCCGACGTGTTCAGTGAACAAGACTCAGACATTGGTCGGACGGACCTTGTTAAGCACCAAATTGACACCGGTGCCGCCCGACCCATTAAAATCCCCGCATACCGAGTGGGCGCACCTGAACGGGGCCAGATTAAAGAGGCAGTTGTGGATATGCTCCGCGATAACATAATCCAGCCCTCAGCGAGCCCCTGGTCTGCCCCGGTAGTACTAGTGACGAAAAAGGATGGGTCGACCCGGTTTTGTGTTGATTACCGAAAGTTGAACGTAGTCACCCTCGGCGACGCCTTCCCCATCCTACTCATTGATGACACCTTTGACAGCCTCGCAGGAGCGTGGTATTTGGCAGGTAGAGATGGCGGAGGATCGGCCAAAAACCGCATTCACCACCCCAATGGGACTGTTTGAGTTTCGGGTGCTCCCGTTCGGACTCACTAACGTGCCCGCGATGTTCCAGCGGTTGATAGAGTTGGTGATGCGGGGCTTGCAGTGGGAACAGTGCCTAATTTACCTGGATGACGTGATAGTGTTCAGTAGATCTCTGTCTGATTACTGGTCCAGGCTGCGAGAGGTATTCCAGCGGCTGCGAGCAGCCCATCTCAAGCTCAAACCGCGTAAGTGTTACATTGCACAGCGCGAGGTGGGGTACCTCGGACACCAAGTCAGTGAGGCAGGGGTGCGCACCGATCCGCAGAAGGTACGCGCCGTAGTGGATTGGCCACGACCAAGGAACCTAACGGAGATCAGGTCATTCTTAGGGCTCGCCACCTATTATCGTTGATTTGTAAAGGGATTCAGCGAGATTGCACGCCCCCTCACCCAACTCACTTCCCCTATCAGTGGACGGAGGCCTGCCAGATGGCCTTCACCACCCTCAAAGATCACCTCACCCACACCCCTACCCTGGCTTTTCCCGATTTCACCACCGATTTTATTTTGGACACCGACGCCTGCAGCAGTGGGCTGGGCGCGGTGTTGTCACAGGTACAGGATGGGACGGAGCGGGTCATCGCATACGCCAGCTGGACCCTGAGCGGGGCCGAGCTGAACCATTGCGCGACCCGTCAAGAACTGTATGCCGTAATCTTCGTGTGTAAACAGTTCTGGCCGTATTTGTATGGCAGGAAATGTCGGGTGCGCACTGAGCATTATGCTCTGCAATTCCTCTTCACCTTCAAGGAACCACGCGGACAGATGGCCCGATGGCTGGCGCAGTTGCAGGAATACAACCTGCCGATCGCGTACCGGGCTGGGCGGACGCATGCAAACGCGGTGTGCGCCGAGACGAGGGCGGAGGAGGCCTGCCCGTGCTGAGACTAAACCCCCTCTCGCGAGAGAGAGTGCAGTATGCGCCGCAGAGACCCCTGCAGAAGGAGCAAGGGACCCGACGGACCACCCCACCCTGACCGGGCGGATCCAAGAGGACGTCGGCTGCGCATTCCCGGGCTTGAATGACGAGCAGCTGAGACGGACCCAGCAGCGGGATCCGGATCTGGCGGCGGTGGAAGCGGACCTACGGGAGAAGAAGGACGCCCTACCAGGACCCTGGAGTGGTTTGTACGCCCGGTTGTGTGTGCAGAACGGGGTGGTATGGGAGCTAACCGAGGCCGGCCAGCCGGGGTGCATCTGTGTTCCCGCCCAGGTGCGACCTCAGCTGCTACGGCTGGTGCACGACAACCCGCTCAGAAGCCATAATCGAGAACGGCGTACCCGGGAGATCCTACGTCGCCAGTATCTCTGGCCCAAATTGACATAAGATGTGGCCGCCTGGGTACAGGGCTGCCGCGCTTGTCAGCAGTGCGTGCCGAAACCGGCGCGATACCAGGTGCCCCCGAGACCGTTCCGCATCAGTCGGATGAACCAGCTTGTCGGGATCGACCTACAGGAACCGTTCCCGCGATCCCATCGGGGCAACTGGTATATCCTCGTAGCGGTGGAATACTTCACCCGCTATCCCATGGCGGTGGCCATCCCCGATAAGACGGCCCTTGTGGTGTCCCAGGCATTAGTGGAGCACTACGTACTTAAGCACGAGATCCCCAAAAGGGTCATTGCCGACCAAGGCAGTGAGTTTGAGGCAGAGCTGTTTCAGGCGCTGTGCCGCGAGTTCAGAATCCAGAAGGACCGAACAACGGCGTACCACCCCCAGGCGAATGGGATGGTGGAGCATATGAACCAGACCCTAGCCGGGAAGCTCAAACGCATGGCGGCCGCAAATCAGTACGACTGGGACGAACACCTCCCCTATGCCCTGTTCGCCTACGCCACCACCGTACACACGTCTACAGGACAGACCCCGTTCCTAATGATGTTTGGCCGTGAGTCTCGTCTACCCGCAGATCTGCTGTTCGGCGTTCCCCCACCGCAACAGGAGGAGGGGAGCCGCCCCGTGGAGCACCTGATGGAGACTCTGCGAGGGGCCCGGGACCAGGCCTACCCGCAAGGAGAGGCCGCGCATCGGCGGCAAGAGCAGGGCGGCCGACCCCGTATGGAGCCCCCCTTCTACTCGGCAGGCTCTAAGGTGTGGCTACACACCCCTCACGTTGGGACCGGACAGGTGGGGAAACTGACCACCTACTGGCGCAGACCCTGGACCGTGGGGCGACAGATCTCCCCCTGGATGGTGCTGATTCAAGGCGGAGAGAGGGGCCAAGAGATGGTGGTCATCATCCGCCGATTGAAACCATGGAGGGCAGCCCCAGCGAGGGAGAACCCCGCCGTTCGGGTAACCCGAAATCCCGGGGTCCCCACACCCCCATGCTCAGAGGCCTCGCACGGTATATGAGCCCCACGGGGCTCCGGGCCCCGAGGGGTCACGGCCCGGGCCGGGGGGGGGCGGGAACGACGGCCCTTAAAACCTGCTGCCTCTGAGTTTGTTCCCCAGCCCGCAGGTGCCGAGGGACGAGAAGAGCCGTTGGAGTGGAGGAGGAGACCACCACCGGAACCCCAGGAGACAGAGCCACCACTCCCGAGGCCGGCCACGAGGGCCGGGCGAGTCCCGCGGACCCCGCGGCGCTACCTCGTGGGGGCAACCCAGGCGAGGTGCTCCAGTCAACCCGGGACGGGGACTGGCACCTCGAGGGGCTATGTGGTGCTACAGCAGCGAAGCCGCTCCGTCAACTGTGATGCCACAGCAGCGAAGCCGTCCTGCCGACTCTGGCCACGACGCCGCCACCTCCGAGCAACGGGGCCGACCCTGCTCTTCCCTCACCACCCCCCACATGAACACAAACACACCCCCACATAGAGCCCTGAGGGGAGGTCACCTGGCCGACAGGTTTTCACCCAGAAGCCCTCTCATGGGACCAAACTTCACGATTTCCTGCGACCAGGGAATTGGGCGACCTCCCCCGAGGCTAACGTGCACCGCGGCACCTTGACTTGGGTTGTAATTACATGGTCACGACGGGGCTGCTGAGCCACCGTGGATAGAAAACACCCACAATACACACGGGTCAGCAGGCAGGTAGGGGGGTACGGAGTCACAAACGGCGGGAAAAACAGGGCCGGTCCTCTGATTGGTAGGACAGATGTGCTTGTTTAGAGGGTGAAAAGCGGACGTCTGAGAGAGCACCGGTCCGGGGAGAGTGGCGGGAAATCCGAGCCACCTAATTGGACGGGAGGCCAGCGGATCAGCGCCGATTTATCTTTGATGTAGGGTACAATAAAAAGGGTAGAAGAGGTAGAGAGAGTTAGTTCGTGTTCTACTCAAGCCAGCGCTCGGGGCGGTCGACTTCCCAGCCACTCGAACGTCCGTGTGATGAGTCGAAGTGCACCGAGGATCCGACCCAGCAGCTCCGTACGAGTCGAACCGTGAGTACCCGAGAGTGAGATATTGAGGCCATTGGGAGATTGTCTTAGGAGAGTGATTTGAAAGAGACGATACGAATCAGGTCTTAGACCATCGGGAGATAGGTTAGACCTGCCCTGCTGACTCAAACTTACTCGGGTAATTTAACCTTGGACTCACTGAGAATAAACTGCTGGGGATCAATAAACCTTGTCGTGTGGTTTCTGCGAGGGTGGAACGGATGCATGTTGGTGTGCGTCGTTGTACCCTGTGTTTGTGCATGAGGGTGTATTTACCCACGTGTTTGCAGTCGCCCATGTGTGTAGCTCGCGTGCATGTGGTGAGCGGCAGCAGACTCGTACAGGGGCACGTGAGATTACTCATACGCCCTTTTGTTTAACGTGTGCGTGAGGCTAACGGGCAGCGTACACGCGAGATTATTCGTGCGGCCTTTTGTTTAGCGTGTGTGTGGGGTGAACGGGCGGCGTACCTGTGAGTTTGTTCATGCAGCCCTTTAAATAAATCTCCGAGACAACCCCCCAATCGGCTGCACGTGTGCGAGTGATGTCCCTGCCCTCTGACCCCCGACCCAGAGTCCCGCACGCGATTGGTGTGTGGCACGAGAGAGGAGCGACGTCGGATTTCGAGTGAGTAGGTGTGAGTAAGTGTGCGCGGAGATTGTGTGAATTGATCGCAGGTGGCTAAGTGCCAGCCACGAATCATGCCCCGAGGGGCCGCAGCGAAGGGGGGGGGGGGGGAGTCGGTGAGCAGTAACCCTCCCCAGGACACGGAAGAGGGGAGCAGTGGATCCCACCTGAGCGAGGAGCCAGGGGCCAGCCTCCCCGACACTCTATCAGCGCTCATCGAGCTCCTCTACGGCTGGTACTACACCCACATATACGGGGTGTCCGCGATGTAAATACATCACACGCCATGTCTCGCGAGAGCCGGCATTACCCAGTGACATCCACGATGTCGCTACATACGTGATATCCGCGATGTAAGTACATCGCACGCCGTGCCTCTCTAGGGCTGGCACCACACAGTGACATCCGCGATGTCACGACACATTTGTTAACAAAAAAATCCTTAATTATCATGTAATGATTAAAATAGAAACTTCCGCTCATGACACATGCATCGAATTGCACGTGTGTGAAATTATTGTTTCGTGCAAATTGTACGCAGAAAGTATACATTCACTCAGTATATGTGGTCAGTCTTGTCAGAAGCTAAGTAGGTTTGGAACTCAAGAATAACTTTTGATGGGTGATGACCGTGCCTAAAAGACAGGTTAAATAGGTACTGTGGGCAGCAGAAAGCAGTCCACAAACATCCATTAATGTTCTGTGCCCTCCCTACCTTCACGAACCTGCATTGACCAGTCAGGTGAAGTATGGTCAAATAATCTTCACAGCCTACAAGCTGCACAGAGGCGCTTAACCAGCAGTGGATTGGCAGACAGGCTAAGCCACGCATGTGCCATGTGCGTACATATGCAAATGACTTGCCAATGTAACGTTGAGGCTAATTGTATGAAGTAAAAAAAACGCACAAAGACAGAACTCGAATCGATGCCCCCGAGTTGTAACAATTCATCGAATTGCTGGGGTTTGTGTGGGTGAACTCTTACGTGAATAATAAAGAATTAAAGCTTTCGTGACTGCGTAAATTACTCATTGTTTTTTTTGGTAAAGTCACGTATGTAGAAATACCATTAAATTATATTAAAATAAATCAATCACGACGTTTCGACCGCAACACAAGCGATCTTCATCAGGTGTAAAAAACAAACAGCACATAGGGTGACATCAAAGCAACACATAGAGAGCGTTAAACTGCACGGAGGTAAATACAATAAGAGGATGAGAGACGAGAATTCAACAAACCTAAGAAAAATTTACATGATGCAAAACCAGTCGGCCAACGACACAGACACTTGCCTGGCAGACCACGAATTTCAGAAGAGTGCTAAATTTCGTGTTCATCCTCTGGGTTGAACATACCAGCATAGACAGAGTGAAAAATACGAGGTACAAGATAGCAGAAATACATATACAGGGACACAAGAGGTAAAAAAATATGTATTTAAAGTTCAATTAATTTTCAATGGCAGATTATTTGTATGCCTTTGTCGCATTCAGCAGTGCCTCAATGTGACGTGGCATGTGGCAAAAACGTACAGTGAGGGAAAAAAGTATTTGATCCCCTGCTGATTTTGTACGTTTGCCCACTGACAAAGAAATGCTCTTCTTTGGTTCTTTCGGTAAAGTCACGTAGAATGAGAATAAAATAATAAATTGATAAAATAAAATAACACAATAATATTCTCACGACGTTTCGGCCACAACACAAGCGGCCTTCTTCAGGTGAAGGGACGAGACTGTCTGGAGGACAGCGCTGGAGTGAAAAAGCCACGCTCAGATCGCGACCTTTAAGCTGTGTGAGAAGAAACAAAGCGCCTTGACAAAGGAATTAGCTGTAGCGCTGCATGGTCCGAGCGCACCGTACATCGTTGGCCATACAAGTAGGGGCGATACTGTTGTACGAAGAAAACGATCGTTAGGAGTTCCCGGCGCGTGACCAAGTATTGCTGCTCGACCGGCGACAGCACTCTGCTGCCATATGCAATGCACTCCACCCCATTGACAACCTGGGACAGAACCGCGCCAATGCCGGTGTTTCTCGCGTCCATATCAAGGACAAACGGCACGGCAAAGTCGGGGTAGTGGTGCGGAGGGGCGTTCACCAAGGCATTCCGGAGCGCAACAAATACGGCCTCCTTCTTCCCCCAGTGAAACTTCTGACCCTTAGCCATCAAGGCATGGAGGGGTTTTGCAATGATAGCGAACTACGCACCTTCCCCACCAACGTGGGGGTCGGCCAAGTCCAAACACATGCGGTTTTGTCGGGGTCCGTCGCAATGCCCGGTTTACTGAAAATATGACCGAGATACTGCATGGATTTTTGAAGGAGGTGACACTTTTGCGGCGTAAATTTGAGATTGGCCGCACGCATTTTGAGAAAGACAGTACGTAACCGATCAGGATGTTCTTCGAACGTACGGCTGAAGTCCAGCTAGGACCAGCTCCATCAATCGTTGGAACGTAGCCGGCGCAGAGTGGAGCCCCATCGGAAGCCGATTGAATTCGAATAGGCCCTGATGTGTACGAAAGGCTGTTTGAGCCTCGAGGCTTCGTCTAGTGGCAACTGCCAAAATCCAGACAGGAGATCAAGGGTAAAGAAATAGTGGGCGCCCGCTAGGGCATCCAGGGAATCGTCCATCCGAGGGAGAGGATAAGCATCAGCCACAGATATCTTTACTCTTTTGTTCTTTCGGTAAAGTCACGTAGGTAGAAAAATAATAGATCATGACGTTATTATTATTTTCTGCTGTGGTTGTCCCACCTTATGACAATTGCTTCTGTTGCGATGGAAACGTCATGATCTATTATTTTTATACCTACGTGACTTTACTGAAAGAACCAAAGAGTATGGATTCCTGCAGTCACGAAAGCTTCAAATCAACACAGATATCTTGTTGAGCTTGTGGAAATCGACACAAAAGCGCAAGCTACCATCTTGCTTTTTAACACGAGCTGATGGACAGCGAAATGATGTCTGCGGAAAGCATCTCATCAACTGCTAACCGAACATGTTCCTTCTCTGCAAGGCTCAGCCAGTAAGGGTTCTGCTGGATCGGAGCAGCATCACCTGTATCGATATGGTGGCTCAAAAGCGTAGTACGGCAGATGTAAAATTTCCCCGCACTAAAAATGTCAGCAAACTCATGTAAGAGCGCCCTCAATTCATCCCTCTGGGACTTGGACAAGTCCACACTCTCCGAACAAAGCGATTTAGACCACTCGCCGTCCAGATCCTTACGCGGCGGCATGTTAGACTCGATCTCCACACCCCCAACAACACATCCCTCATGAAGTGCGGGTGACACATGGGCTAACACGGTCTAACCCAGTGTTGCTTGTGCAACCATAAGGGGATCAACATTTGCACGCCAGGGAGAATCCGAACTGTTTTAGATGCCAGGGCTTGCACAGTGTCGTTGGCCGTACACATCCGAGCGAGAGAGGGTAAAAATGCCATATGGCGGTCCGATGGCAATTCAATGCACCCTTGGACAATGATAATTTTTACTGGCATTTTACCCAAAAATCTGTCCTGAGCACGCATGGTACCGCAAGGGATGTTGAAACGAGAACCGGTCCCGTTAACATCACCAACACACACTTGTGCGGATATTTTACCAATGATGCCCAATGAGCCACCGTTTGCGGCGAAGCACGGAACATCAACGGGGCATAGGGCATGGTATTTAGTGGGAAAAATGTTATAGATTAGCTCGGAAATGATGGTCACCGACACACCAGTGTCGACAAGCATCCTAATGTCGACTCCTTCGATCGAACCAACAACAACAGACGAACCAGCGGTCGTGGCAACTACTCTATGAGCCAGCTCCAACCACTGACCCAGCCGGAGCGGCCAGTCGGCCCAGTCACCTTCCGAACCCACTCTCACAGATGCACGACACGAATGAGACCCGGCGATACAAGATGGGTGAGATGGATTCAGAGGTCGAGTGTGTGAGGTGTCGCGACTCACCTTAGGGTGCAGTGGAGAGGATCGGTGGGCAAGCGGATGACGGCGGTGGTCCGGAGTGGCGTCGCCGTGGCGCAAGGCAACCCGACGAGACGTGTCCCAGCAGACTGCAGTTGCAGCACGCAGCGAGGCCGCGACCAAGACGAGGTGATGTCCTCCCCCGGCATTGGAGGTCGTCCCGTCGTGCCATGCCGTCCCTTCTCCAACCTCCGCCCTGAGTCGATGCGCAGGCTTGAGCCGGCTCCGTGACTTCAGGTGTATCCCACGCCTCATAAGGCGCGGTACAATTATTATCTGAAATTCTGGGGTTTTTTCTCTTTTCTGTCTTTTTTCTTGACTTGGACCTGGTTGAGGCTCACCAGGTTTGAGTTTTACTAAAAACCTGTCCATTGAAGTTTGTTTTTGCCTTCTTCTAAGAATGTTCCTGAAGTGTGACATTTGTCTGGTCATTCCACACAATATTGTTACGGCTTGTTGACTGAGGAGCGGTGCTTTCTTTCAGTCGTGAACGGGGTATACGCGGGTACGCGGTGACTCATCCCGACCCATACAAGTTCTAGCAAACGCGTCGTATCCCAAGCAAGGCGT